AATATAATAATATACAGTAGATATACTGTACATGGTGACTATGGTGGTGATTGTAAGTGAATGGAGTTGTTGGGTATATTATTGCGCCAATATTTTAAACTGATTAAGTTAATATTATAATTTCTGCATCTACAGTATGGTGCAGCTTTGATTCCATGTACTACTGTAGTATTATAGTGTGATTCTACTGCATATCAAAGCAGTATTACCATTGTTCCAAAGCCCTGAGGATGTTTTTGTCTGTGCTGAAACATAACGTGCTATTGTAAAGTGTAAAACCTAAACTTCCTAAAGGTACACAGGCGCTGATTTAATACTTCACGTTTGTCAGATCTGTGAAGTTCTCTGAAGGCCACTCTGTAGTCTGTAGTTTACTCTGCATCCTCCCTGCTTGTTGAAGTCTGGTTTGTTCTTTTGTGTGCTGTCACTAGTCAGAAGTGACAGACTATATTTTAGTCGCCTGCACTTTTCCTCCCTGTCTCTGAGGGTGGTATCCCATCAACAGTACTGCCTCAGCCCTGTACAATACTACTCCCTACTCCAGTACTATTAAGGCAAATTTCCATCCCAAGCCTGCCAATCTCCTTTAGCCTCCGCGCTTTTATTTCTCCCCCTCCTTTTCTCGCTTTTTCCTTTTCGCTGTCCTTCCTTCCGTGAAAAGCGAAAGGGAACGGCGGTCTCCTCTTGTCACGGCGCTCCCAATCAGTGGGGGGAAAAAAGCTCAGGGATCATGTTTGATACTGTCAGATGGCCTGGAAAATTAAAAACCCAATTAAAGTGGCAGTCCAGAGGTCAGCTCGTCTGCATATCAAAAGCTCTCCTCTGGCTATTCGGCACAAATTATATCCATTAACAGCACACTTTGCTTAGACTGCAACAGCCCAGCTCTCAGGGAGTATAATAAGTGCTTTCCAATCGCTCTGTTCCATTTCAGATGTGAACCTCTCAGCTGGAGGAGAAGGGGGAAAAAAATAAAGAAATACTCGGCGAATCGTTTTTTTTTTTTTGTCATTATTTTCTCTGGAGCCGATGCCCAAGAATCGGTCTTTGTATCAGGAGAAAGAAAACATTTTTATATACGTTGCCTCCTGAAACTATTCCCTCCACGTCCACGAACAACACGTGGGAATTTGACTCATATTTTTCCCTGGCCTTTTTGAGAAATAGTCGCCATCCACTTCCCGCCTCCCTTTCTTCATCTTTTGTGTCCCATCTTTTACCCACGATTCATTAATTCCCATACAGTGAGAAAGGGAAGGGACGGAGAGAAATGGCCGATGGAACTTAATGGCATGGCGTCTCAGGCCAAAAGACTATTAATATTCAGCTTAATGTTTCTGATAACAGGGCTGTGGGCCATGAGGAGCTCGCTGGCCCAGACAGCCTTATTAAGCAGCTGGAGTGGAAGGAGGATCGCGCACATCGCACATCAGATGCAGGAATAAACACACACACACACACATGTAAAGGAGACAGTTGTCTTCAGGACTTCAGACAGCGTCAGGATCTTCCCACTAAATGGCTCTCACAGTCCGCCCTCTCTTTATCTGCGTGTCAGCGGCAGCCCTGAAAGCCCTGCTCAGCGGCAGTAGCTGTGTGTTAAAGACAACACGGCGGTGACTTGTCATAGGGTTGGTCACTTTATTGGATGTTTACGTTCCTACAAATGAACATAGCCGTGACATTTGTCTCTCTCCTTTGTTCCAACCTCGTACTTTCCTTCCGTTTTTTGCCTTTTGTTCTCCACTTTCTCTTTCTCCAACCAGACAAGTTCTCCGCATCAGGGTCTTTTAGCTCCATCTCATTTACATTTAATGACATGATAATACACATTAGCAGACTATTTCAAATAATTACAGCCTTTCAATCGCTCTTTACCCTCACCTCTCTCTGCCTTCCCCTCCAAGTTCTTTCACAGCCCACCATTTCTGTTCTTTTCTTCTGTTTTCTCTTTCTCTCTCTCTCTCTCTCTCCCCCTCGTCCTCTTTCTTCTAAACTTTCATATTTCTAAGTAGAATAGTAAATGCTTTTTCCTCAGAAACAATGTATAATAATATGTCAGAGGGACAGGCAAGAAAAAAAAGGAAAAAAAAAAAGGCAGAGCAATTTTCAAAGTGCTACAGTGTGTGTGTGTGTATGTGTGTAAGTGTGTGTGTGTGTGTGTGTGGTAGGCTGGTGTGAACAGGACATTTAGTTCTTTTTTTTACTGGTTCTAGTGTTGGTGTGTCATATCAGTATCTGTATACTGTTCAAATACTCACATAGTAAAATAATACAGCAGTGACCTGGTACTGGTGCTGTGTGTGTGTGTGTGTGTGTGTGTGTGTGTGTACCAGTCAGTCAGGGTTATTAGTCCCACTACAGTTCAGTTTGGTGCTGCCTTCATGGGTAGTTCATTTAGGTTGGTCAATAAAGTCAGCAGTTCAACAGACTTACCTTAAGATGTGTTTGTTACGATATGAGCAAGTTTACAAAAAAAAACCCTAAAGACGGACCTCAGCACTGTATAGACCAGTACGTCTCAAATAGTGGGGCGGGGCCCCCTGGAGGGCCGCGCTGAGGTTCCAATGGAATATGGCACGCTGGACATAAGTGACCACTGCTGTATTATACAGTGGTTTGTACAGATAAGAATATTGGGTGCAGACTAATGCGTCTTCAATAGAAATGCTGTTTGTGTAAAAGCTCTGCTCACTTTCTGTTCATCGGGCTGTGGTAACTGTACGATGTAAAAGCTCTGCTCACCTTCTGTTCATCGGGCTGTGGTAACTGTGCAGAAAGTTTTGTTTTTCTTAAATGAGTGTTTTGCGTATCGTAGCCTTTGGTTTGGTCAGTTTATAGTTTTTCTTAAATGAGTGTTTTGCGTATGTTTATGTAGTGAACTGCACAAAGAGCAAACATTTCTAGTCATATTTACCAGTAGTTTATCTTGTAAGTAGAAACTAAGTGTGAATGCACTGATTTGGATTCACAGGGAATACAGTGGAAAAACAGGATTATTGTCTTGTATAATATCATTTCTATAACCATTTCGTATTGACGTTCTCTGAAGTTACGTTGCACATTTTTTCACGTTTATAGTGAGAATTTTGCCAATTTGCGGTATGATGTTTTAAAAAGAAATTTGTTTTATTTTATTTTTTTCCTTTGGTCAACTCATATATTATAATTGTGAATAATGGTATGGTCTATTCTTTCTCTGCACTTGCTGCATGTGATTGTTGGACCTGATCGTTCTGAAAGTTTAGCTGAAATAGATGAAAAATGAAATCATTAGTGACATCAAGTTGCGGCCTGGGTTTGATTTTAAACATTTTTTTTTAACCTTTAAAAAGCAGCTTTTTATATCTGCACATCTCAGACAAGCGACACACATGACTAACACGCAGCCTCATGTGTTTCACCTGTACAACTGACCTCGGTAATCACTGGTCCAATCTCACACCAGGTGCAAAGTGGTGCCAAATACAACACAGCAGTCATGCTATTTTCAGTCCAAAGCCATTGTCGTTTTCTTTTTTTTTCCATTCATCTTTTGATGCATTTCTTTTAATGGAAAATGCATTTGTGCCTCTGTGAGCACCCATGGGTGTGATGGTCTTAAAATGTTGGTTAATAAAATGAATAAATGTGCATTGGGATGAAGGGATGTAAATGAAATGGACGTTTCTATAGCGTCTTTATTTTTGTCTGCCTCTATGATATTGTGTGAGAGAATTAGCCATCTGGAAGAGTAGGCAGGGCTCCCTGGTGGTGTCTGTGTGAATCCATTCCTCGCAGTTGCACTGTACTGGTCAAACAAATTAAATTACCACACCAGTATGTAAGTAATTTTATGTAAATTATGGTGTTAATGTTCTGCGTCGGAGCTGTTGATGATGGGCTGCTGGGTTTCCTCCTCTGGTGGCTCTGCTCGTCTGCAGGACCCCGCAATCACCGGCTGGAAATGAACACGTACATTTGCCAAGAACGCTCTCCAGTCTGCCTCTCATTTCTTTTACTCTACTGTCTGTACATGCTAAGGGATCTAATGTATTGTAATTAGCTGCGGGCTGGAGCGGGAGTGTGTGCGTCTGTGCAGGAAAAGCAGAGAGGACAAAAAAGATGCAGCAGAAACTGCTGTCATGATGTAAACCGTGTACGTACAATTAAAAAAAAAAAAAAAGCCCAAGAGAATCAATCATGTAAATGATGACAGCAGTACAAAGGCCGTTACATCACAGATGTTGTTTGGCGTTGAATCAAATGTGTTTTGAATTCATTGAAAAGCAATAGAATATATTTATCTTTATTTTACACGGGTCTAAAAAGTGCTGTTAGGAGTAAAACTCTGTGAGCGCGGTTAAATCAGAGGTGGCCAATGTTGATCAGAAAAAGAAAGAAAGGTTAGCCAACGTTGTCTGGAATTGGCTTTAAGAAGTCAAAAAAACAAACAGCACAATTAGCTTAAATAAACAATTGCTACAGTTTTAATACAACACAGCTCTTAGATAAAGATATTTAAATAGTTGACCTGCTAAAGGTTGGCCAAAGTATTCAAAAATCATTCAAACAGTAAAGATGAAATATTAATGTTGAAACTCTAAAATGTTTGATTTTTATAGCCTAACGTTAGCAGTCGATGAGAACCGTAACTCAGCTCAAACGTAGCTTAAAGTAAGAAAAATGTCAAGGAATTATGCAAAATTTGAATCCATGAGAAAAAGTAAAATTACTTCTGAAATAGCTTTAATCCATGAATTGAGGTTAATGTTAGCCCAGAAAAGCTAAAGGTAAACAAAATGAATTGAAAACATTCAAATTTAGCTGAAACCGTTGTGAAAAGTTAGCCTTTTGCTATAGGTTTTAGTTACAAAAATAACATAGCTAAATACATTTATTTGAGCTGATTTAGTTGTGGAAGAAAAAGCTAAAGGTCAGTACATTTTCCTGAACTCTTGTGGAAGAAAAAGCTAAAGGTCAGTATATTTTCCCTAAACTCTAGCTAAAAGATAACTAAATGCAAGACCAGAGTTAGCTTTAATTAGCATACGACAAAACTACCAAATATAGCTGTATGTTTCGATGTAAACAATAAGTGCGACCACCAAACAGAAACATCCTCTACCTGTGCTCCTCTATGTTTCCACCTCCTCCTGGTGGAGCTGCTCCTGCCACAGAGGAGTTGGGGATTTACGCTGGATTTTTGTTTCAGCCTTCTATGGAATTAAGAAGTGTATCCTTGCATTTCATTAACTCCTGCCTAATGAGATGACTGTCTCTCCCCAAAGAGCAGATGATGAAGTACCCTATGCCACGGTGCATAAATTAGTATGGTGAGGTTAAATGCTGGAACTGACTCATGTTTCACAGGAGGACCCGATGCAGCAGTTAAAATCAACTCCTATAAATACTGACGCTAACAGACTCTGCTCCGCTCGCCATTCCGATTGGACGCCGTCGGGCGTCTACTGTAACGTACAGGGTGTATTTGTGAATACAGTGGCGTATATATTTTATTATATTTAGAAAAGCAAAGTATTTGTAACTGCTTTTCATCAGAAAAAACAAAGAAGAAGAAAAAAAAAGAGTGACTTAACTCGACTCCAGACGTTTCTGGAAAGGTCTTCTCATATTTCTCATTGTTGCGTTCCCTCAGCTGCTGAGTGGTGATAATGTTTGATATCTGAGCCAAAATTACATTAGTGTAATGAGGTGCCCCACATGGCTCATGCACTCTGAACGAGGCATTTCCGATGTGTTAGTGCAATTTCCAGAGACAGGAAAATGAACCAAATGTTCTTTCCTGAGCCGCAGCTACACACACACACACACACACACACACACACACAGGCATACACACAAGGGGATTCTAACACACTGGGAGAGACGGAGCAATCACTGAAAACTCAGGAGATGCCTGATTTGATCGTCACTTCTAATTGGAAGATCATTTTCATAAAGCCTTTCAGATTAGTGACAGCTTCACTCCTCCATCCACGTCTGTCCCTACGACTCCTTCACTGGATATTTCCCCTCCTTTAAAAGATGCCCCCGGCAGGAGTGGGAGATGGCTGTTTGGAGGGGATGCTGGGAGTTTGCTGATTTTCCAGGTATTTTAAGTTTTTTTTTTTTGCGTCCACATGGCTGTAATGGACTTATTCTCAAGCAGTTCTTGTCTCCCTAATTAGTGGTCCCCCCTTGAGCCGTAACAAGGGCACTGACGAGAGAGGCTTTTTCCCAATGATAATGTGAATGGATACCTGCAGGGGGAGATTTCTGCACTGTTCCTCATCCTGTCAGCCACTCTGGGTAACACCAGGGCTTAATGAACCTGAAAACAAGACACTGTGTGCGGTGAGGGGACCCTGTGTGTGTGTGTGTGTGTGTGTGTGTGTGCGTGTGTGTCTGGGAGATAGTGAATGTGTGTGGGAGTCAGTTACAGTACAGCCACTGCTGACGGTGGAGTATTTTAAATACATAGTTTATCTGCTGAAAGAGCATCAGTTCCAGTGTGATCCACCATGATGAAATCACTAACCAGTCCCATTTTCTTTTCAGAAAGGCCGCACGGAGGCAAAAGTCAGACGGTACAGGTCAGCTCAGCATCACCACAGGTGAGTCAACTGGTAAAATACAAGGGGCAGCAAAGAAATTCTAAAAGAAAACCCCCCAAAAACAAAGCCTTCCATGATGATCCTTTTATTTCTGAAGATAAGTTTCCATCGGAGGATTCCTTCTGTGTAGAATTCGAGCAGATAAAATCAAGACTTTCTTCCAGTTTGTTTGTTTAACCCTCATGTGGTTCTGAAGATTCACTTTCAGCCTATCCTGTCATCAGAGGTCGCCTCAGTGATAGACCAATACACCGTCCTTCCTGTCGTAAAACAGCTTGGGATTTAGTGACTGAAGGGTATCGAACCAAGAACCTTCTGTTTGATGCTAAGATGCCATGACTCTGTCGCCACCTGTCTGTCTTTAACGTCTTACAAAAGCTCAAGCAAGTCTTTAAAGACATACTTGAGAGCAGTAATAATCAACTGGTGGCCCGTGGACCGAATCCGGCCCACTAAACCATCTTATTGAACCCGTGACTGGAGTTCAAAATAAACATAGAATAATAATGTTGGACAAAATGTGATTTTTATTTCAATTTATTTGAGTGTCCGGACCATAACGTGTCTCTTCAGAAAAGTTCAAGCCCTACGACAAATATAGATGGTGACCCCTAGTGTAGAGCAGTGTTTCCTAATCGTTTTTTCTGGGGACCCAGATTTTAAGTCACAAACATGATGCGAGGCGACCCCAAAAAAAATCTCTTCTGACCCACCTGAGGGTCGCGACCCAGTCTTTGGGAAACAATGGTGTACAGTGTTAGTGCCTGACTGGCAGGTCAGCAGTCTCTCATAGAAATGCTAATCATTCAGACGATTGCAGATATTACAGCTAAAAAAGGACAAAATGTCTACCTGCAAAACTGCAAAAATATTTTGGTTTTCAGGTTCCAAAACAGTAAGTTTTTATTTAAATGGTAACGGATGTGATCCAGCGACTTCACTCACTCAGTGAAAACACAATGAATATCAAACAATGTGGATCACTGACTGTTGAAAATATCTCATTCTTAAAGCAAGAAAGTGAAGTTGCCACCAAATTGGTTTATTTAAGTAGAAGGGGATGTGACCCAAAAATGAAAATCTTGACTTGACTTGGGCTCAGGTGAAGGACTGAATTAAATGCTGTTTTGATATTTTCAGTTCTGTGCTGATTCTTGGGTTCACTGGTTCACAGGGTAACATTACCAGTCAAACCACACACGTTTTTTTTCCTGCTGCTGCTGCTGCTTCACAGGAGCCGCTGAACATGTAAAGTGATATGTGTGTGTGTGTCCTGACTGTGAGATGGTTTGATGGATAAGTTGACACCGTGGAGATGCATATCTGGGATGCATGCAATGTCACAAATGTCACTTGTGATCGATCGAACGCCGCACTGTCTGAGTGAGAGGTCATTGCTCTCCATATACAGTAAGGAGAGGGGAGACGGGGGGCGGGGGGGGTGACACGGGACAGAATGCCTGGTCAGCACATGGTCACATTTTGGACGCAGCATGTTTCCCTCCCCTCCCGAGTGGGTAATGAGCTGTTGTGGGTGGCGCACACGTGAATCTGTGTGACATCCGACTCAGTCGGTGCAGAGTCTGCACCCGGCTTCATCTTGGACACCAGGAAGTAGCTGCTGCAGCCGGCTGACATTGAATGATGTGTTTGTTTATCACGGTGGAGAGGTGTCATGTCAGGCATGCATTTAGTCCTCGCAAAGTAAACTGTGCATTTTTTTTTTCTCCTAGTCTGCTAATAATGCAGCCGAGCAAAGTGGGGAAGTACTTAGCTAACCTGGACGGAAGAAAGGATGGGCAAGGTGAAGACGAAGGTCGGGGCGTGTGTGTGTTTGTGTGTGTGTGTGTAAGGGAAGTGGAAAAAAAAAAGACAAAGAAACAGAAACAGTGAGAAAGACCAGGAGACGGGAGTGGAGGAAGGGAGCCACAGATGTGGCAGGGCCTTGGGGCGATACAAGTCATTATGGTGTAAACTGCTCCAGTGGCGATGTTGTAAGGAGAGCGGAGGGGTCAATGATTCGGGGTGTGTCAAGCAATACACGCATGCATACACAAAAACCCACACACAGATACAGGAAACTCTCCCCGAGAACATCTGGATACGTGCCACCTGCCTGGAGGAAGTCATCTCGTTTACACGCGGTACAGGAGAGAAGGAGGGAGTAGGGAGGGGGGTTGTCCCTTCCTGGATGTGCAACCTTCATGCTAGCCTGCACCGCTGGGAGAGGCCGGAGGATGAAGTGGAGAGTGAAGAGCGTGCAAACCAAATGACACACTTTGCACGGATTAAGTGTTAGAGTAAACATGGATGTCGTGAGTCGGGACGGGAAACGGGGAGGAATGCGCTCCGCGGTCTCCTTGGCGAAGCCCCTATCATGTCACCACAGTTGTTCGCTTCTGCTCAGCTGTGTGGCGCTGGTCCACGGTGTTGGACACGTTCTCACTGACCGGGGTAGTTCCTGC